CTCTCAATCTCCAATTTTCAAGACTTCAAGTCTCAATCTCAATTTTCAAGTTAAATCATGCCTCGTTCGGAAAGAGTGCGCTTATTTGTTTCGCAATACTATGAAGTGCTTGAAGAAAATGAAGAAGGCCAAATATTAAAGTGCCAGAACTGTGGAAGAGTCTTAAATTTTCGTTCAGGGTGTACCACAGGCATTTTAAGGAGGCATATAAAGTATTGTGTTGAGGGTATTTATCCGCAAATTCGTCTTTAAGATTTTTCAACAATTTGTGTTATTTTAAAATTATTAGACGTATTTATGCTTCATGTTGTACTTTGTTATTAATTTATTACGCATGCCAATTTAGTTTTACTATTGATTTGTTATTTTACATTTTCGTCAAACACTTTAATAATTAGATTTCTATATTATATATACTACATATATTTATATAGCCATGCATAAGAGCAATTTATATATATACATACACATATGGTTTACAAGAAATTGCCTTAAATAAAAAAAATTAAAAAAAAAAGCCCGTAAATAAAAAAAGCCCGTTAGGCCCGCTAAGCCCACGAGCCCGACGCATTTAGCCCAGGACCATATGGGCTTAGGCCCGTCCCGGGCTGGTCCTACCCGTTGAGCCCACGAAGCCCGGGACCGCGAAGCCCGGGACCGCCAGAGCCCGGGACCGCTAAGCCCAGGCCCGTTTAGCCCGGCCCGTTTAGCCCGTTTAGCCCATTTAGGCCCGGGCCCGGCCCACCATACAACCTTAATAGAATATAATTTTTTTAAGTGGTATTTATTTAAAATAAATAAGGTGTTAACCTTTGCTATAAGAGGTAAAAATTCCTATTGTTTATAGCCCATTCTAACTCATTAAGCATCCCAAATACAACTCATGAAACTCACCCAAAACAAAGGAATATCAACCCAACTTATCTAGAAATTTACTTAGTTGCCCCAATATTACTTTTTTTTAATACATATTTTCAATTTTTCGATCTTTTATTTTTCTGCACCACCCACCCACCCTATCCCCGCAAACTCCCTCAAAAAAAATTTACTCTTTTTTTTTTCAATTTTCAATTTTTTTTGTTTTACTGCAACCCACCCCCAACCCCCAACCCCTCCCTCCCCCCGCACCCGCGCAAACCCCCTCAAAAAAAGTTTTTTACTTTTTGTTTTTCAATTTTTTTATTTTTTTTATTTTTTTGCACCACCCTACACCCTACCCCTCCGCGCTAACCCCCTAAAAAAGATTCTTACTTTTTATTATTTTTTTATTTTCAATTTTCTGTTTTTTTGTTTTTCTGCACCACCCACTCACCCCAACCCCCTTTCCCCCATCCCCACCTGCAAAATATTTTTCAACTTACACATTTTAAGGTAAAAGGTTTTTTTATGCAAGATGTGCACGGTTCTAAAACATGGGTCAAATTGGGCGGGTTGGGTTTTGATCCATTATTTAGCCCATTTTAGCCCAGTACACTTTGGGTTGGGTTGGACAATGACCAATTTATTGACCTAACCCATCTTGATCCACCCAAATTTAGCCCAACCCGCCCATTTGACACCCTACTGATCACCAATAAGCATTCTATGATCCATGGAATAGATAGACCGATAAATATTTCTGTTTGGATGGTAAATTATTTGGGTTGGGTAGGTATTCGTTAACTTATCCCTGAAAAATAAGGGCTCAAGAGTTTAGTCTGTGTGGTAGTACTCTATTCACAAGGAAAAAGGAAAAGGGAAAAATAGCAATTACAACAACCCATTTGGATCCCAATCCAAAACCACCAGATCAACCCGAACATTAGAAGTCAAACCCGCCTTTAAACCCATCTTCTTCCCATCCCCTAAGAAACTTCAATTCTGAAATCTGAAGGCGACCTAGTTCTCTCCCTCTCTCTATAAATGCTTATGCATTTAAGGGATCTTTTGATTGCTGTGCCCCAACTAGTGAAGATCAGTCAATGCATATCAAAGGTAAATACCATACTTCAATTGGGTTCTCCAAGAATGGTGCTTTTCAAAGATCCAATTTTTACTTAATTTTGATGGGTCTTTTTTTTTCTTCTTTTCTGTGCCCTATTTTGTTTGCTTTATTTTCTATATGGTGTGTATCAATGAAGAGACAGGGCATAATAGAAGAGAAAAATCCATATAGTTGATACCTACTAGTTGGGATTGAGGCGTACTAGTTGTTGTTGTGTGTCTCAATGAAAAGCCATTTTTGTGTTTGGACCTTTTCTGGCTTAAGTGGGTAACCCCTTGGATCTCACTTGTCACAAAAAAAGAAAAAAAAATAAGAATAATTACTCTAGATAGATTGCAATGTAGATTCTGATATGCTGGCACTAGTGAAGCTTCTAGCTTGCCCACATATTTAGACAGAACTTGGAGTCTAGTGCATGACGGGGAAGTAACTCATTATGCTAATTTTATTTTGTATTTATTGTGATGTCAACTTACATCTGTTATGTTTGCTCTTTTTCTGCATTGGTTGTTTTTTATACGAACAGGAAAAAATTGATTATGTTCTGCTCTAGTTTCATGCTATCATGGACTAAATTCTCTAATTTTTGATTAGGTTGATCTTGGTGCATGATCTAGCACTAGGTCAGACGGTTGATATGGAAGCTGTGAACGGTAAACAATTGGGCCATCTATATGAAAATATTAGCAGCTTTTTTCGCCAATGTATATTTTCCGTGCTTTCTGTGGGTCCTGTTCCTAGTCATATTGCTTTCATTATGGATGGAAACCGTAGATATTCCAAGAAACAGAACTTGCTAGATGGGGATGGACATAGGGCTGGATTTTCAGCTCTTATCAACATGCTAAGATACTGTTACGAGCTTGGTGTAAAATATATAACTGTTTATGCCTTCAGCATTGACAACTTCAGACGAAGTCCTGAAGAAGTTGAATCCCTAATGAAACTGATGCAGGAAAAGATTGATGAATTAATTAAAGAGGAGAGCATTGCAAACCGCCTTGGGATTAGGATTTACTTTCAAGGAAACCTAAAACTTCTGAGCGCCCCTGTCAGGTCAGCAGCTGAGAGGGCTATGGTAAAGACAGCAGGTCATTCAAAAGCTGTATTATCTGTTTGTGTTGCCTACACTTCAACGGATGAGATTGTGCATGCTGTTCAAGAATCTTGTGAAGAAAAATGGGATGAGATTAGAAAACGAGATGCAAACAATGCTGGAGGCTATTTAATTGGACTCGAAGAAAATGGGAAGGACAAGGATGACCATCTTATTGGTGTAACGAATGTTGACAGACATATGTACATGGCAGTTGTTCCTGATCCAGACATTATTATACGGACTTCTGGAGAGTCTCGGTTAAGCAACTTTCTTTTGTGGCAGAGTGCAAATTGTCTTCTTTATTCTCCCACTGCACTATGGCCTGAGATAGGTTTGAGGCATTTGGTTTGGGTAGTGTTAGACTTCCAGAGAAACTACTTGTATTTGAAGGAGAAAAAGAAGCAGGCATGAGTTAGAAGTAAAAGCTCTTTAGCAACTTCTAATCATGCTGCGATTTTGTGTTGCAGCTCCATTTGTATAATGCAGTTCCAGTCTACCAAATATGTAAGCATGCATTAGGACTGCTGTTTATTGCTCTTTCTCTTTAGATATAGTCAGTAGCTTGTCATTTGGTGGTAGAAAAATCAAATACAGTATGTAATGAAAGGCTGAAAGCTATACGGGATACACCCTGATAGCAAGCATATTGTAGTTTGGGCACTGAGCTCTGGGCTTGGAAGTTGTTGTATCAATGAGAAGTTAATTATCACGGATCAAACGTTTTACCCACTTGTAGCCTGTAGATTTTGGATTCTTAGGGACTATTTAAGCGTTCCAACTCAGATGATTGGTTTCAGCTAAGTTTGATTAGAGCTTCATCCAAAGTAACTTTTTTGTTTCCTCTATATATGGAGCTTCCAGTTTGCCTCATAGCAGAAGAAATCAGGGGTTAGGCCTTCAGCGTTGTGTAATTTAACAAACCCAATAAACAGCAGTTGAGATGAACTTTTGAAGCCACAGATAGATTTCATCTCCTCTAACTACTCCAATGCTCCGTTTTGATGCAGAAGTTTCCGAGGATAAGAAAAGTGGTTTCCGAGGAACAGCCTTTCATGCTTTTGACGCTGAAGTTATACATTTTTTTTAAAGAAAGAGAGAGGAAAAAGGTGTGGAAAATGTTAACAATATTTAGTAAGTCAATAAAGGTGAGAGAAAAAAGAGAAATTCCCCATGAAAAACTGGTAGGCTTCATCACTCTCACTCTCTCCGGTCTACCTATGTTACCTTATTATCTATCTTTTCCTTGCCTTGCATGGTGTAAAATATCAGGTTGCAGCATATAGGTTCCACTAGAGTTGGTCAACAACGGATGATCCCCTTGACAGGTTTGAGCAGATTGGGAAAGATCTTTACAGAGAACTCATTACCCTAAGCACTTCTAAGTTTCGTTCCTATCAACTTTATACATAGCTCATCTTAAGCACTTGTGAATCTCAGTCTCTATCAACTTTTGGTGTCTAACTCTAACCACAGACTTTTGACATCGTCTGGAAGTGTTTCTAAATGACATTGTGAGTTTATGATCCTCCGGGTAGAACCATTGAGAATCATTGAAGGCAAAGGGGACATGATTAATTGTGATTCTTGTTTCTATCTCAGGCAAGCTGTTCAGATAATCGCTAAAAGACATATTTGTTCAATTACATCACCGTTTTTAACTGCCTGATGGGATACCTTCCTTTTCTAATTTTTTTTACATATGTTATTCTTATCACTGTTTTATCGATAGAATTGTTTCTCTTATTTGTCAATTAAATAGGCTTTCTTCTAAATTTGTTGGTTACTAGTGGTTGGTGAATTTTGCAAAGATGATCACTTATGGGTTTACAAATAGTATCTTGCCTCTATGGTTGTCAAGTTGATCTCTTAGTTAGCAAAAGGTTACATATCAAATGAGGAAAAATCCTGTACATTCTGATCAAGCCATTTTTTCAGTATCAACAATCATTTGGCTAAGTGATTAAATTTTCACGGGCATATCTATCTGTCTTTCTAGTGGTCTCTTTTGATCTTTTGCTTGATATCGAGTTTTAGCACTACCTCCTACAGTTTTGACTTTTGAGACAACAGTTTGCGTCCTTTCTAGTTAATGTGCAATTGCCAGTTTTGCTTTTGTAAGAGATCAGTTAAACATAATGTTGTATATCTGCTTCTGAATTGCTCTTTTGCTGTTACTGAAGAAAGCTGTTGCTCTGTTTCGGTCAACAATTTCTTATTGTAATAAATCAGGGTTAAGTTAAAGAACTTGGACATTTTTTTTTATTCATGCTTGAAATGAGAAACTAAATCTAAGATTCTCTTGCACCTAATGATGTGGCCCAAGGTCAATGAAGTGGGTGGCCAACCTTAGAGACCAGGGTTCAAAGCTAACTCTCTGTTGGTGGAGGTAGCAGGTATTCGATGGAATAGTCAAGGTGTGCTCGCGGCTCGCCCAAACCAACATTAAAAAAAAAAAAAAAGTCTAAGCTTCTCTTTTGTTTCCTCATCCCAATTCCCATTCACTGTCTGGTACAACTTAGCCATATCTCTGGACAAGCTACTATTTGTTCTTTTCCTTATCAAAATATTTTTTATGAAATGAAAACTGAAAGTTAACATGATGTAAACTCGTACATAGTTAATCAGATTGCCATCTTTGAAGAATCATGTCTGTGATAAACATCTGCACTTCTGAATTTACTTTAGTTGCTGCTTTCGTTTGCAAGAAGTTGATTTGCTGAATTAGATGAATCAGTCATATTTCTTGCTTTCTACACTGGCTGGGTTGTGGAAACTGTAGTTGCTGAATGGTTTAGCCTACAAAGTTAGATCAGTGTCTCTCTTTCTACTCATTCTATGCAAATCATGCATTCATGGTTCTTAATTAATAGGCTGCTAACTTATGAGATTATCCTATCCACGAGTTCTTGTCATATAACTCAACATCTGATTATGTATGTATTTGACCTTGTTACAGATCTTTCAATCTCTTCAATGAAATCCATTGAAGCCTCACCTGAATAACTGTCTTCAAGTTAACACGTCGACATTCATTTAGACTATGACCTGTTTCACTAGCAAATTATCCAGCTTTCGGATGCAACATAAAACTAGATATGAATACATAGTCCAGGATAAAATCTACCCGGGCTGATGTCAAAGCACATTGATTTACTGCAGTTAAATGATATGTTGATCATGGTTAATATGTATTTAGTAGTTTGGATGTATAAAGTATAAACACAAGTATGAAATAGTTTATTCTCACTATACGAGACCAACTATAATATATATAATAATGTCCTATCTATGTGAGACCACTATATTTGATTCAATCTCATACCCATGTAATTCCATTTCAGGATTAGCACAGAACGTTAGTATGGACTTAGAAGTGAGGATGAGCTTACCAAACTCGACTTTGCTATACATGAAAAAATTGGAGTTATTGTATCATAAAATTGGCTTTCAACTTTCTCAAAATGATTTTTTTCAAAAAAAAGTTGCAGCATCAGTTATATACGCAATAATGCACATATGATATGACTAAATACGTGGCCTGTGATGTTGAAGTTGAACAAATCATTTCAATCCTATCTCCTATATTAGCGATTACAGCAAAAAGACTTGGCATTGTCTAAACTGTATTATTAGCTGATTTTATGAGAGAACTTTGAATTACAAAATACTTTTTATGAGTGAACAGATTATGATAGTAACGAATTAATAAAAATACAAACAATAATTGGTTTTAACTATTGAATTTGGTTTTTTCTGATACATAACAATTAGTTATGTCGAAGAATTTTGTTTAGGAGCATTAATTACTGATGAATTACAAGCGACCTAATAATATTGATAAAACCGTCATACATTTTGGGTCAATGTTGGCATTTTTTGTTTGTGCTATAGTGTTACGACAGAGGCGCCAACTCAATTCCTTAAAAAGAAATTTGACTTTTTTTCTTTTCTTTCGTCGGACTAACATTTTTTGCAACTAATAGTAGATAAAAGTTTCAGCAAATATTTATCATAGAGCTCTATAAATGATTTATACACTGAGGTTAACATGCTTTTAACGGTTGTCCCAGAAGGACCGAGGTTAATTAACACCATTATGGTAGAAGTTTGACCAAGGATAATTTACCTCTATGCAAAAGTTGAAGGTGGTGTATTGTATTTATCGTGAAATTTATATTCAATAATATTGATTACATCCCTATCTAGGTTAACTGTTTTAAGTTCATTTTGGTGGTCAAAACTATGAATCTTGTCCATTAATGTATTACTAATACATATGTTTCTCTAAGAAAACTAATTTTTTTTGATAACTTTATTTCATTTGACACTACTTTATCTTAATTCATAGAGATTTCACCATTTTCCTTATAATATTTGAATAATCTTATGTATTACTTCTTATTAAAGTTGGAGATAAAAGTGACTGTTAAAATCACTAAATTGAACAAAAGAGTTTAGTGTATGTGGCTAGGGTATCAATAGATATTCGAAAACCGACTAAACCGACCGAACCGTATTGCACCGAATCGATTTTTAAGTTTTTTTTTAAGAAACCATATGTTTTTATATATATCTATAACAGCACCGATAATTAGGGTAGGTTTTTTATTTTATAAAAATAAACCGAAAAAATACCGAACCATACCGAACAAATTTTACATGTGAAAAATATATTTATCTAGTAAGTTTAAAAATAATAATGCATTAAATTTTTCTTTGGGCCTTGGATTATGAAAGCTATTACAAGCCAACAAGTAATTAAACTAAAAATACTAATTCCTAAAACCTATTATGCTACTTCTACTTAAACTAAGTTATTTCAAGTATCTTTATAAGCAAGACACAAAGTATTCTAGCGATTATGAGTAGTAAACTAAAATGTATTGAATATGTTTCCTTTCATATAAATTTAGATTTATCTTTTTGAATATTTACTCTTCTATAGATTTTATTCCCGAGTCCCAGCTTGGTTAATATCTTTCCACTCGTTTGATTTATATTTTCTTTGCCTTTGCTTGGTTTCTTTTACGATGTTGTAGATTAGTTGATGGATCTATACTCTAGCCATCTTTTATTTTTTTAATTCATCACCTTTTAAACAGTAAAAATGTCTAGAGAGTTTTGCTAAGTCCTATAAAAGAACGCATGTTATTCCATTCTGCTTTTACTGGCGAATTTTACATGACATTTAAAAAAATACTGAAAATTAACCGAACCGTACCGATACTGAAGTGAAACCGACATGATTGGGACGGTTTCGAAAAGTCTAATTTTGGTTATGCATAATAGAATAATCAAAAAATTGGTATGGTACAAATTTTATAAAATAACCAGCCGAACACCATTGACACCCCTAGAGCCTCCTATTCATTACAACTTAACTCCAGCCATATTCCCTCAAATTTCTCTTCCCATATCGATCCTGATCAATAATGTGCTGGACTGGTGCAACTTACTCTATATTAATTACATCCTTTTTCATTAGCTACTAAATAAGCATCTTAAGTAACCGGTAATTGGAAAGATTGAAAAATTACATTACGAATAATATCATATCATGTTAATTGTATTTTTAGACTAGCTAAGCATAAAAAATTGATATCAGATCCAATAGTCCGACGAGACGAGTACGGAAATGGAGGAAGGATGGCATGGGGCTCGATTTTCTACCTTTGGCTTGGAGACACACCCGCACAAGAAGAAGCTAGCTCTAGGCTTCGGTGGCCATAATACTTGGTCATCTGCAGTGGCGGAGGCAGGATCTCCACGAAGGGTGTTCAAAAAAAAAATTAAAAAAAACTGTAGCTAGTGGGAATTGATCATATGACCTAAAGAAGGTTTTGAACCCCTTTGACCACTAAGTTACACTTTTGGACTGTGTTAAGGGGGTTTAAAACTTAATATATAGAGGTAAAAAAAAGAGATTTTGCCTTATATACATAATGTAATTTTTCAGCGAAGGGGTCATCTGGGTGACAAACATTGAATCTATCAAATTGACTCGCTGATCATGGTAATTGGCCACGTGGAACTTAGTTCGAGGGAGACCCATGGATTGTGGTGATGACCACGTGGAACTTAGTTCAAGAGGAGACATGTGGATCGTGGTGATGGCCATGTAAAACTTAGTTCGAGGGGAGATCCGTGGATCATGGTGATTGCCACATGGAACTTAGTTCGAGTGAGAGATTGTTGGGTGTATAAATAAAGTTTCATATTAACATGTTGTGAGGCCTTTCAGAGAAATCGTGCAAGTTTGGCCCAAACATTACAATATTACATTATATTAAGAGTATCTTTAGGCTGGCTGTGTTAGAGTTTGCCCTGATTTTCTTATTATATTGGATTTTACCTTTTCTTGAAGGAAGGAAGGAAAAAGAGTTTACCATAATTGATTTTTTTTCCTTAAAGAAAAATATAGATCTTTTTCATATTTAACAGATCCCTTACTTGTAGGAAAAGATTGTGACCTTTATAAATTGAGAACCTCTCACTCATGCACAAAAACATAATAACATCAACAATGTATTCCTTAAGAGAGTTTTGTTTAGGTGGAGAATTATTCTGTCATAAGTTTTTTTCCTTCTATATCAGTAGATTGATGTAGGCCAATTGACCAAACTATATTAAAGATATTATGCCTCTTTTAATATACTTTTTTAGATCGTCTAGTTCATTATCACCAAGATTTGCTTTGTTAGCTTCTGCATGACGCCATGTTATTTTCGATCCCAACAAGCTGAGCCCGGCACAGACATATTTGAGCTATGCATATACATATTTAACCAATATGGTAAGTTTAGATAAAAAGTACCTTTTTAATTTGCTTACAAGTACTTAGAATTAGAGATATATAGTAATTTATAAGTACAAAGAATTTGATGTTGAGCTTACTTAAACTAGGGTAGTTGGTTTAATAATGATACCGAATATGGTCATAATTAGTGACGGAGGTGGGATTTTTGCTAAGGGGGTTCATAACAGAAAAAAGTTAAAAAATTAAATGAGGTTGTAGTTAGTGGGAATTGAATCAATAACCTCACAAAGATTTTAAACCCCCATGACAATTAAGATATGCTTTTGGATTATGTCAAAGAAATTCAAACATAATATATCTATACTATATTAAAAGCACAAAGGCCCTTAGCGAAATGTCGTTCGCCTTTTTTACCCTTTGAAAATAGAATTCACATTAGACAAAATAGTCATTTAATCATTTTTCTAAGATTTAGGAATTTAAAACTCATTAAATCTTTGTTTAGTAAAGTTTTCCTTACTTGAACTATGTAGGAAATCCTAACATTTAAGATTTTAAAAATCAATTAATATTTCACCTTTTATAGATTCTTTTCTAAAATCGATTAAAATTGTACCTTTTTTATAAAAGGAATTCAGAAGCTGAAGAAGATTTAATACATGTAGTTCTTGCCATCTCTATTACTGCGCTTGGAACCTTTAGTTGATCAAAATAATAGGGAGATTGAGTAATACTTAATAAAATTAATAATATGAAAGATAAGAACTAATTTGATAAAATTAAGTAGCGTGGAATAAAGCGAGACGAACAACCACCGCCAAGGTCCTTAACATGATCAACATAATTTTTTTTTTCTTTTGTTAAATTTTATTTTGTAACTCAAACTCATATTTTGAATATTATTTAAAAAATAAAAAGTTTATTTTATTCATTAAAAATAGATTCACATTAGATAAATTTATATATATAGGACCACAAAATAAGGAAGCTTTTATTTCAAAAATCATTTCTTATTTGAATGGTGCAAATTAAATATAATTCAATTATAATAAATTATAGAAAAATTAAAAATAAAATTCAGTTAAAATATCAAGACTGTTGATCATTATATTTAATCGTTGGGTAGAAAAGTAGTAATTTTGAATAGTTCAAAAGCTTTGTTTCTTAGTCTGTCTCTCTTATATTTTTTTATGTTGAAGGTGGTTAAAAAAATTCTTTCTTCCATTTTTTGTCTTTTTATTTTATTTTATTAGAATAAATGAAATCATTTTTGGATTAAAAGATATAGCAATAAACTTAATTAATGCAAATATATGAAATATACAGCATATTAATTAGTTTTATTGTCTATCTAATTATGATTTGACTCTTTTATTTATAATTATGCAGAAACTAATAAATATTCTACTTGAGTTGAAAAATACATCTATAATTAAAAAACAACCCTCCTTTGAAAGTAGTTGTCTTAATTTACTAAGACCTTCTTTCATTAATTTAATTCGAGTAATTTTTCCTACACTAGCCAAATATTTCATAATTTTATTTGTATATAGTCTTGATGCATATTTAAAAAGACTTTTAATATTTCAAATATATTTTTTAAATATGTTATTTTTACAAAATAAATATTTTCATTGAAATGGGGGTACACGTGCAACGCGCGTACTCTAAGACTAGTAAAGATAAAAACATATAGGAGCCTGCAGTACCTCACGTGAGCAGATAATAGTATTAAGAGGGAAGATTGGAGAAACAATTCTATTCTTCTGTCAATTAAAAATTTTGATACAAGTAAATAATGAATCTGAAGTTGAAATTAATATCCCTAGAACTCGGAAAAACAATTGAAAAAACCTGACGTGGCATGCGTGAATAGCCAAGGAATAGGTGTGATTCTTAGGAAGATTAGATAAGAGTGGATTGAGGAATTGGAAATTTTATCTAATAGGGATCTATTTCATTACGTAGTTCGGACTTCGGACTATCTAATTGTTCTAAAGAGGATGAAACCTACATTGAGAGGCTTATATGTGAACCAAATGCCAGATTTGTTAGCTTGATTTCGTTACTCCGACACCCTAATAACGAACCAACCAAGGATTTTGGGATTACTATTTAAAATACAAAAAAAATATTGGATATATAAGGAAGTGAGCTTTAGACCGACTTTAATGATACATTTTAAAGCCATATCGACCAAAACGGAAAAAATCACTAATTGGCTAGACTATTACATCCAAGTTGCTTAATTGTTTTAGTTTTGTTATATACCATGATTCAAGCACCTAGGCTTTTTCTCATTTCAAAGAAGGATTGACGCGCATAACATTAATTTTATCCAAGTTGCAAACTTAGCTTGCTCCTCATTTGTATTCTCATTAAATGTGCAAAGTATACACTTTTGTACATAAATCATGCAAAGAAAGCAAAAAAGGCATATAACCGTGAAAATAAAGTTGAGAAAGATAAGCTACACATTAGATATTTGTCATGGTATAAAGACAATAAACTAAAGCCTGTTTTAAGAAGCCACCCCTTACCCCATATTAGCCTAAAACATAGCAAATATATGGCACAAGTTCCTCTCTTTCTCTCTTTCTTACCTATCAAATGAATGAATCTATAGAGTTTATCATCTTAAAGGGATAACGTAAGATACAATCCTTAAACTGCCATTCTTTATAAGTGGCTTTAAATGGTTCGCTACTCAGACAGACAACCTAGGATTTAATTCCTTTTGGCAGCCGTCTCTCATCATCTTGCCTTCTAAGGTTTTTGTTAAGAAACACACTTTTCTTACTATTCCTAGTTTCCATGCATGGAAGCAAAGTCCTAGAGTTCTAAAGATTATATAACCATCTACGTTTTAACTTCTTGAAGAGTTCAAAGACATGGGTACAGGAGAAAAACCTAGTAAAACCATCAAAGGTAAGTTAATCATATTACTACTATTATTTTTTCTTTATACGTGGAAGTTAATTTTTTTATTTTTTTATTCCATATATTAGAGGAAATTTTCATGAGCTTACTGAAATAGTTTAAAACCTCTTTCACTCTCCAAATAATATATAGTGTCACGTAAGATGGAATGGAGGAAGTAATATTTTCCATCTTATTTTTCTTCATATCTCTCAAAGTACTATGATCAACATAACGATCAGGTTTTTCAGTATATACATCTGCACTATAGGGGCTGAGCTAGGAGGTCACAAAGAGATTTAATTGAATTCCCTTTGTTGGAAATTATATTGCGCAAATGGCGCAAACACAAATTCATTCTCTTATATATAAATTGTTGCAATGACATTCATGTATTTTTTTTTACCCTCTTGTTTGAATTTCTGACTCCGTGGTTTATGTAACTTGCAAACTAATTGTTCACTGTCATTTCTTTATTAACCTTTTAATCTCTTGTTGATTAAATCTTTATGTTTAATAAATTAAAGCTGCTTGTTTAATTTCCAGATGGGAAGAACATGAAGAGAGAGGCGCGAAGAAGCCTCAATGTCAATGAAGAATACTTAGGCGCATTAAGGACAAAATCCTATGGTGACTTCTTCCTGAAAGCTCAGCTACTTGTAAATAACAATAATCAGCCATCATCTCCTTCTCAATATACATTCTCAGAAATCCTTCTTGAGCCAGGTCAAGAAACCATAACATCAATTCTTGAATCATCTAATATTTTTCCAGGCAAATATAATCTCAAATCCCTTCTCTCCAATTACTTCAATATCAGTGCACAAGCCTCAAAATTCTGTAGCCACCTTCTCAAATCCATCAACCAAGTCCAATCTGACTATACTTTTGTTGAACAAGTCCTCGAATCCATCGATGATTGTTCCAATTCCACAGATCAACACTTTGGTTACCTTGTATTAGAGCTTCGATCTTTTATTATCCACAACAATCCATTTTCTGACCTCAAGAAACAGGATTTCACACGAATCAACGATGAATATTCGTCGACACTTCAACATTTGAAATCAAAGAGGAAAAAAGTGGCTAGAAAGATAAAATTGATCAAAGGTGTAAATAAGGCTTCAGGGGTATGTGTAACAGCAGCATGTGGACTAGTTGCTGTTGTAGCTATGGTCCTAGCAGCACATACATTAGCTGCAATAATTATGGGACCAGCAATTTTAAGCTTACCTTTAAATCCAATCAAGAAAAAATTCACGAATCTTCGATTCTTGAAATGTGGATTTCTCAGGAAAATTGGAGCACAACTTGATGTAGCAGCAAAGGGTACTTATATTTTAAACAGGGATTTTGATACAATGAGTCGACTCGTGGATCGATTACACGATGAGATTGAACATAACAAGGCAATGATACAGTTGTGTTTGGATAGAAAGGAAGATAGCATTTCATTGCAAGTGTTGAAGGAGTTGAAGAAGAGTAATGTTGGATTCAGGAAGCAAGTAGAGGAGCTCGAAGAGCATGTTTATTTGTGTCTTTTAACTATTAATAGAGCTAGAGCTTTGGTGATTAAGGAAATTGCTATATCTTGTGGGAGCAAAATTAATGGTGATACCCAAGATAACAAGACTTGTATATAGTATATTCTTTGATTTGTTATGGACGCCTCTATGTATATATGTATGGACATGGGCAGAGTTAGAAGCCCCACTACATATTCGACCGAACCCCAAGAGCTTTTGTTCGAACAATATTTATATTAAGTTCATTAAATATGGCCAGATATTAAGTTTACAACCCAATTATTAGCACTTGAGATTACTTAGTGTTCTTTGTAATTCTAAGCCTCTATGTACTTTTGAGCTTAAGTGTGGTTAATCTAATGTCCAGGGTAATTTCAAGAATTTCACTAAATTTTAATTTAATCGCATGAAAAGTCATTAATTTATATTTTGTAACAGCAATATCACTCAACTTTACCTAAGTATGAGGGAAATTCAATAAATTATTTTTTGCAACCAAAAATTTACTCAAACTTTGCCGAAGTATCACAAAAAGTTACTAAACTTTTTTTTTTTTTTGTAACCAATTAGTCATTTAACTTTACCTAAATATCATATAAAATGTCTATTTTATTTTCTCATATTGACTTTATGTGATACTTAAGGTAATTAATTGTTTGACTTTTTTATTATAAAAAATAACTGGTGAATTTTGTGATTACTCTAATAAAGTTGAGTGCTATTTCCTTTACAAAAATAATTATTAACTTTAGTGTAATAAAATGAATCTTGAAATTACCATTTCGCAATTTCTTCCTGTTGCCTTTTCTCTGTCAAACTAAACAGGATATAAATTAAAATAGTTTATTATTTCAAAAACAAAAGCTTTTATAAGGTTCACGAGCAAAGCCCATGTTTAGGAAATCAGTAAATCCGAATCCAAAACAAACTAGGAAAACAACTGCTTACGTGCAAAAGAATTAATCATATATAAAGTGATTAATTTCCTAACTGAACTAGGAAATATAACGGGCCATCTCTATATGTAGTTCATTGTCCTCCCTCGAATTTATTTGGTTGTTTTCTGCTGTTCATATTCTTAACTCAAAGAACATCGTCCCCTGCTTTGTTAGCCCTCTTCTTTAGTTTATTGATCAAAGAAAACATGAGTAATCCCCATACTCATCGCTCTTACGCACAACAAGCCCATCATAATTTCCTACATCATTCTTCTTCTCCCAATTATAATGGTAATCATCAACGTTCGAGACAAGTCCATCGGCGTAATTTTCGAATTATAAGGTGCCCCTATGATCATTCTCCTAGACGACGACATTACACATCAGTTCATCATCCCCACACAAATCATCCCCTAGGTTATGAATCGTACGTTTCAAGAAATTACGTTGTGCATATTCCTATTCCTAGAGATGATGATGAATTCATGGCTCAACAAAACCTGCATCACGAGTTCAGAGCTTTTCCACAGAACTATCAACAACCAATGGCGTCTACCTTTGGTGTTCACAGTGAATTTACCAATAGAATTAACATAATTAACTTGAGCGATCGTGAGTCAGTTGATATGGTGTTACGAGCAGATTTTTACAATCTGCACGGCGGCCGATACTCTCAAGACAGGAGCTATCAACCCATGGCGTCTACTGGTGTTCACAATGAGTATTCGAATGGAATAAACATAACTAACCTGAGCGATCATGATTCAGTGAATAGGGTCTTAAGGCCAAGGCCAGATTTAGTAGACAATGTTCATGGCAGACGATATTCGCAAGCCACGAGCTATCAACCCCTGGCGTCTACTGGGGTGTTCACAGTGAGTATACGAATGGAATTATCATAACTAATTTGAGTGATCGTGATTCAGTGGATAGGGTCTTACGGGCAGATTTATACAATCTGCATGGTAGCCGATACTCTCAAGACAGGAGGAGCTATTCTCATTCAACAAATGATGATGAACTAATTGACGAAACTTATGTCACTAGTGATCCCATTGAGCTGTCAACTTCTTTTTTAGAAGTTATTATCTGACTAGCTTTCGTTTTGACTCTCTGTATGAAAATCCATTTGATCTAGAAATGGTGTTATTGAAGATAGTTTTAAAGATGCTAGGAAATTTAATTTTTTAATCTGATTTACGACTTAAATTTCTCTTCTTCTTTTTTTGTTTGTTGTTGCTGCAACAATATAGACACAAACCTTAAGGTGCAAAACAATATAGCCTAAGGGAAGCTAGGTTAACCAATTTGTTGGAAGTGGTGGCAAAATCTTAAATATTTGGAGAATAAGATGCCAAAAGACTTTCTCATGATCTTTAAATATTGTAGAAGACAACTATGCAAATGTTTAAATCGAAACCACCCTCTAATAATTAATATGTTGTTCCTACATAGGATGTGGAAGGCAAGCAAACTAATATATATTACTACTATTATAGAAGGGAATAAGGAGAGGAGCTTGGGGTCGTCCTATTCCAGGTTGTGCCATCTTATTGGTTTCTCCCAAAAACACACATACAAGTGGCTTAAAATTGTGAACCTAAGGGCCCCACTAAAAATCATGACTGCGTTTCAACTTTCAAGTCGCAACGTGTCATTAATACTGAACTCCAAACACTCTTGCTTTTCTTTTTTGTCAAAGCCACAATTATTCTTATGACAATTTTATTTTTATTTTTAAAATTACCCATCAATAAATATTTTAGAAGATAAATTAGGATTTACCTCTTTAACTTTTTGGGAATTAATTGAGAAACCTATTTGACTTTGTAGTACTAAATTAATTTCAATAATATTGACTTTCTAACTAATCTTTTTATTACTTTGAATTTTATATAATCTTTGCAGGCATTTGGATAATATTTAATTGAACTTGAAAATAATATACTTGAAGTAAAAGTTAGAAAATAATATTTAAAAGTTCAAGTTATGCTTCAAGATTACTTTTACTAAAAGCAAAAGTTCAAGGTATGCAAGTGAAAATTATTATTTCACTTGAAATAATATATTGAATACAAAGTGACGTCAGATAGTGCTTGTGAAAAAATTATATCACCGGTGAATAGGTAATGTTAAGAGAGATACATTATTAGTATTACTCAAATATTTTTTGTTATTAATGACTTTTCAATTATTTTTGCTTAATATAGTAGAAAATGTCATGTTGAAGATATGAGATACAGTACTTATATTTTGAATTGATCAAATTGCAAATTGACATTACTTTATTACTACCTATTTAGAAGCCACAAACGAGAGGAGCTTAGGGTGAACATCTCTGCTTGAGTTGTTTGCTTGAAGGCTGTCTAATATGCTTACAGCCACGTGGTAGTTATGATATTTCAGGGTTACTATATTTTAATTTTGTTGTAGACATGTGGAAAATTTTGCTGAACCAGTGGGACTGGTCTCTACACGTTCCATGTCCTCTACAGCCTTTTTTGATTGACGTGTGTGTAATCATGTTGGTCCTCTTGAGTTTCCCATCTCACACAGCTCTTCTTTATTTTGCTTTACTAACAAATGTGTGTTTTCATTTCTTCGGCAAATTATAATTCAAATTAATGTTAAACCTTAAGTTATGCAACTTTTAAAACTATTCAACGTGTTATAAAATGATAGCTCCTCTAAGCAAAAATTGCAAAGCAGAAGAAAAATATTTTTTCTTTTTAATCCTAAGTTTTAACTATTATTCTTAAAGTGAAGATTGTCACATTTGCCTATAGTTAATACTAAAATAAATTGTCACGATCCAATTTCCAAACCCGGTCGTGATGGCGCCTCTCGTGAAGACAAGGCCAGCCAACTAACCCAAATCGTCTCTTTAATATTTATTAAACATAAACGAATAGGTGAATATAGCTTAACGACAATAATAACCAGTATGTACAACCCAACACAACCCGACCGGGGTGTCACAAGTCACGAGCATCTGAAGAAACCTTAACACAACTACAGGCCAATAAATATATACAAGTAAAAATTTCTGGAAAACAAAAGACAACATCCGGTGCCGCGAACGCTGGCGGTCACCTTGCTCAGCTACAATAATAATACCTTCAATCCGCTAATAACCCGCTACCGGGTGAATGATACCTGCAACTGCACGCGAGGTGCAGGGAGTAAAGTGAGTACTTCCAACTCAGTGAGTAATAGAAGTAAATAATAACTGAGCAGCAAGAAATCACGTAAAGCAACCAACGGGCTGTACAGAAGTCGGGTACAATTTTCGAGAAAAACAGTGAGATCAGAGAACTCTTTAGAAATGTTTTGGCTCAGTTCAAATCTCTTTTGAAAATGGTCCTTTCAATAATTACAAAAGCTGTTCAAAATAGTTAGTGCTGATTAACGCAGAAAATCTGCCCCTCGGGCACAAATACCACAGCATAGCAGGTAATAATGCAAGTAAGTATGCAAGATGAACACATAAAAGTTCGCCCCTCGGGCATGAAATTCGTTACTAGTCAATCATTGTTACCTGACCGGTCAGCCATTGTTACCTGACCGGTCAGCCATTGTTACCTGACCCATCGCGTGTTTCAGTGCCATTGTTACCACTGGTCAGCCATTGTTACCTGACTGGTCAGCCATTGTTACCTGACCAAAACACGTATGACAGTGTCATTGTTACCACTGTCCAATTCTAAATGGGTACCCGCGCTCACTGTGAGTGTGCAGACTCCGAAGGGGCTCCTACAGCCCAAGCGCTATATCAACATAAGGCCTGAAAGCCTCCTCACAATACACTCGAGGCCTGAAAGCCTTCTCACAGCACACTCGAGGCCTGAAAGCCTCCTCACAATACACTCGAGGCCTGAAAGCTTCCTCACATCACTCAGCATATCCTCACATATGGCCCTCGGCCTCAATCAGTCCAAAAATAATCATAAGCCCCTCAGGCATCAGTAAAGAAACAATAATGCTTAGCTCAAACAGTAGTTCAAATATCAGTTAAAACTCGAGGTTGAGTGAAAATATAGCTGAGTTCATGAAACAGTGTAATGACAATGGACTGAGTTCAAATAATATTTCAAATAGTGAGGAAAACAGTGATGATAGCTCATAGGGAGTTCAAACAGTCGGCAATAAGCCCCAAATATGGCAATAAGCCCAAGTCCTAGAGAAAAACAACAAGTCATAGCGAAATACGCGGTAAAATCAACAACCGGGACGGACCAAGTCACAATCCCCAACGGTGCTCTACCCCACGCTCTCTATCTGG